AAAGAAGAGGGTTGAACTAGCAAGAATGGGGATACAAATAGCAAACCCTAGAAGGGTTGTACTCGTTATGGAGCACCCCACTACAGGCTAGAGCATAATATTCTGATACACCCCCATAGCCAAAGTGGGGTGTAATCAGCAGAGCAAGCAAAGCAGTACAAGCTCAGGGTGGATCACAATGTCACCACACATTCTGAGCACAAGTTCAAGAAGCAATAGTTTAAAGTTAACAATTATGAGCAAAGCTAGAGGCTATCGCAGAGGGCAAGTGAGGAGGAGGAGGCGAGAGTGAGAGGAGAGGAGATAGGAGGCGACGGCTGAAGCTGCAGACACACGGGCAACAGGAGGCACACTGGCACAGTGGCTACCGGAGCAACGCTCCGGAATACTGGAGTAACTGGCCCCGCGGCTAAAGTAGCGGCAGACGAGCAACGGACCCACGGGCGGCTGGCACAGCTGGCTACGACTGGGCTACCGGACGAAGTCCCCGAAATACAGGTGCTGCTGGCGACACGACGGCAACCTCCATTCAGCTTCCCCAAACTATCCCACCCCCCTTGACACACACCCCCTACTGCACCCCTAGGGTCACTCACACCCCACCCCCTAGCACGACTCCGTCGACTCCCACACACCCACCCCCCTCAGCGGAAGCTGCAGCAGTGGGAGACAGAGGAGGAGGAGGAGCAGGGGAGACCACACACCCGCCACCCCCCAAATCGCCACCCCCAAACCCGACACAGGGCAGGACGGGATGGCGGGTAAGAAGGTTACGGGGGGGGGGGGGGGGCGACGCGCGGCCTCCCTGGGCGCCAAAGTAGGCGGCAGAAGGGGCGACGCTCGCCCCCACCCCCACGTGGCCCCTCCCGTCGCCCCTCCCAGAGCCGCGACGGGCGACGGGAAAAGAGGGGGGGGGGGGGGGGGGGGGGGGGGGGGGGGGCGGTGCACGTGCCCCCGGTGCGCCGCGGCTGACGACGATGCATGGCCGGGGCGGGGCCGGGGCCGCAAGTGGCGGCGACGAGGCCGCTGGCGGCGACGACAGGGCCGATGCGGGCGGCAACGGGGTCGCTGCGGGCGGCGGCGACGGGGCTGCTGCGCGCGGCGACGGGGGCGCTACGGGCGGCAACGGGGCCGATACGGGCGGGGACGGGGTCGTTGCGGGCGGCGACGGGGCCGCTGCGCGCGGCGACGGGGCCAATGCGGGCGGCAACGGGCCCGCTGCGGGCGGCGACGGGGCCAATGCGGGCGGCGACGGGGCCGACGCGCGGGTCCTTGTCGCCCGTCGCAGCGCCTCCCGAGGGCGGCGCGCCGAGTGACGGGGCAGAAGCCCGCCGCGCGCCTCGGGGCGCACAGCGGGCAGAGAACCGCCGCGCGCCTCGGGGCGCACGGCGGGCAGAAACCGCCGCGCGCCTCGGGGCGCACGGCGGGCAGAAAACCGCCGCGCGCCTCGGGGCGGACGGCGGGAAGAAAAAACTGCTGCACGCCACGGGGCGTGCGGCACAGCGAGTAGTAGTAGCAGTTGCAGCGGAAGCAACGAGGTGGTGAGCCCACCCACAGGATCGATCCAAGAGGATCGACCTGCTCTGATAGCATGAGAAAGTTTAGAAGAAAGAAGAGGGTTGAACTAGCAAGAATGGGGATACAAATAGCAAACCCTAGAAGGGTTGTACTCGCTATGGAGCACCCCACTACAGGCTAGAGCATAATATTTGACACTGTTGAAGTCTGTTCCGGCTGGCGTCACTCCGGAGCTGGTCCGTAAGATGCTGACGGAGGTCGCGTTGCTCAAGAAAGGGAGGCCTGCGTTCAGCAAAGGCGTGAGTTTTTATAGGATGCAGGACCCTGTTACCGGTATTGACACTGACAAGATACGTGGCCTGGTGTTCGTGCATGAGAATGATGTTGACCCGTGGCGTCATGCGGTTGCGGATCTGTCCAATCCCGGAAGGAAGCTGATGGTTCACTACCCGGCGCTTACCTGCGGTTACTACAAGGGTCAGCATCTGACGCAGTGTCACAACGCTTATGTCACAGAGCGTCAATCCAGCATCGGCAAATGGACCTTATCTGTCGCAAAGGTTCATGCGATCAACGGTATCAGCGCCCTGTATTTCTCACCTTTGCCGCTCCCTTTTTGTTCTTCACCATGTACTGACGTGCCGGCTCCAACCCTCCCCCGCAGCTGCATCGCTGAAAGTCATAGCGTTAACAAAGGACATTCTCAAGGACCCGGCTATCGTTCTCACCTCCACAGGAGGGTCGCGGGAGGACTGGGTGTGTGTCGTCGCTGCTTGCGACAAAGCACAGGGTGCCAGCTACGAGCAGGCATCTGTTCACGCTGCATCACTTCGTCACAAGACGAACCTGACCAAGCCCGGTGCTGCTGAAGATTAGGAGGTAGTAGAAAAGGTTTAGAAAGAAGAAGAAGGGGGTTCACTAGAAAGCAGCAGGATACATATAGGAAACCCTAAGGGGTTATACTCGCTATAGAGTACCCCACTGCAGGCTAGAGAACAATAACATTCTGACACACCCCCATCGCCAAAGTGGGGTGTAATCAGCAGAGCAAGCAAAGCAGAACAAGCTCAGGGTGGATCACAATGTCACCACACATTTTGAGCACAGGTTCAAGAAGCAATAGTTTAAAGTTCACAATTATGAGCAAAGCTAGTGGTAGTCACAACGGGCAAGTGAGGAGGAGGAGGGACAGTGAGAGGAGAGGAGATAGGAGGCGACGGCTGAAGCTGCAGACACACGGGCAACAGGAGTCACACTGGCATAGCGGCTACCGGAACAACCCTCCGTACTACTGGAGTAACTGGCTCCGCGGCTAAAAGTAGCGGCAGATGAGCAACGGACCCACGGGCGACTGGCACAGCTGGCTGCGACTGGGCTACCGGAGCAACTCCCCGGACTACAGGTGCTATTGGCGACACGACGACAACCTCCGTTCAACCTCCCCAAACAGTTCCACTCCCCCTGACACACACCCCCTGCTTCACCCCTAGCTCCACTCCCCCTTCACCCCCCTTAGTACCACTACGACGGCTCCAATAGGTCCACCCCCCTCAGCGGCAGCTGCAGCACTGGGAGACAAAGGAGGAGGAGGAGCAGAGGACGGCACACAGAAGCTGCACCCCCATACCCCCCACCCCCAAACCCTAATCCAGGAGAACGGGCAGCAGCAGGGGTGGGGTGCCATCAGAGGCACGGGGGACAGCGGGCAGCGCAGGGGCAGCGAAGAACGGGCCGCCCACGGGCCTGGCACAGCCGCCCGGACCGCGCGCAGGCGGCCCGAGCCGCGCGCGGGCCTGACGCAGCCCGTACGGGCCGCGCGCGGGCCTGTACGGGCCACGCGCAGGCCACGACGGGCGACGGGGGGCGACGCGCGGGTCCCCGTCGCCCGTCGCAGCGCCTCCTGGGAGCGACGCACTACGTGACGGGGCAGAAACCCGCCGCGCGCCTCGGGGCGCACGGCGGGCAGAGAACCGCCGCGCGCCTCGGGGCGCACGGCGGGCAGAAAACCGTCGCGCGCCTCGGGGCGCACGGCGGGCAGAAAACCGCCGCACGCTCCGAGCGCGCGGCGGGATGAAAAATCCGTTGCACGCCACGGGGCGTGCAACACAGAGAGCAGCAGTAGCAGCGGAAGCAGTGAGGTGGTGAGCCCACCCACAGGATCGACCCAAGGGGATCGAACTGCTCTGATACCATGTGAAGATTAGGAGGTAGTAGAAAAAGTTTAGAAAGAAGAAGAAGGGGGTTCACTAGAAAGCAACAGGATACATATAGGAAACCCTAAGGGGTTGTACTCGCTATAGAGTACCCCACTGCAGGCTAGAGAACAATGACATTCTGACAGCTACTTGCGCCAGCAAGGGTGCTCTCAACCTGGGAGCTTTCCGCAAGGAATTCGCCAAGTAGTTGTCTGGGCGTTGTTGCTCCAGTGCTTCACATCTGCAAAAGCATAGAGGGGAGAAGGATGGCAGTTCAGTTTTCAAGTCAGTTGTATCATCGGTGATCCCCGATTGATCCTAGGGAAGGGTTACAGGCTCGTTGTCCTGGGGGTTATGGGCGCACTGACCCGCTACTTAACAAGCCCTTTTATCCCAATGGTCTAGTGGTTGGGATTCTGACATGGTATCAGAGCGAAGGTCACGGGTTCGAATCTCAACGTGTGCACTTCGGGCATCCCAGTGCGGGGGGATGTCAGAGGTCTACTGGTGATCCCCGATTGATCCTAGGGAAGGGTTACAGGCTCGTTGTCCTGGGGATTCTGACAAGTCGTCGTCACTGTAGTAGTAGTCTCTATGATGTGCAGCTCTTTGGTGCGGATGGTGCTAGCGGCGCGCGTGTATCAGGAGTCATGTACCAGCTCTCAGCCCGTTTATGCGAAGGGGCTTTTCAACTGTTTTTTAATGAATAAGAAGAACACGATTAGATTCTGCGAGCTCAACATCAACGGGCTCGGCAGTGCAGGGAAGCAAGGGAAATGCAAAGATTGGATAAGGAACAAGGCGGACATTGCAGTACTTACAAACACACGTATCCCTGCTGATCACAACTTCTGGACCCAGCTGAAGCCGTCTACGGTGGTGGCCGGGGGCCAGCTGGGTCGGCAAGAGGAGTGGCAGTGGTGAGCTTCATACCTGGGATAGTTTTTCACAGACACGTATACACATGCATCAGGGAGACTGGCGGGGGTGGTGGTCCGTTGGGGGGACCTGGAGCTGCTCCTAGTCGCGTTATATTTACCGGCACAGCCGGAGAACAGGGCGCCTTTCTACAGGGACTGCCTGGAGCCCTTTATTAAAACCTTACCGAAGCTGCAGAGTGTCCTGGTGATGGGTGACCTGAATATTGTGGAGGACCCAGCGCTGGACAAGTCACCGGGGGTAGGGTCGTCGGCGGAAAACAGGAGGCTGATGGGATACTGGGCGGCCACCTTGCTTTTTGATGTCTTCCGCTTTACGCACCCTGGGAAAAAGGAGTACACTTCTCATATGAGGGCAAAAGGAGTAAGCACCAGGACTGACCGCGCGCTGGCGACGCAGCCGGTGCTAGGAAAAATGGTGGAGGTGCGACATGCGGACATCACAAACAAGATGACAGACCACTGGTGTGCGGTGGTGGTCGCGCTGGAGTCGTCAGCGGCGGCCGATAGGGGGCCTGGCATCTGGAGACTGAGGGCTGCTCAATCAAAGAAAAAAGGGATCAGGAATCGGGTGGAGCGAGTGCTCAAGGATGCAGGCGGGGACCTCGGCAAGATGTTGCCCAGGTTAACGGCGTGCCTGAGGGCGTACACACGGGAGGAGTAAAAGAGAGTTGGGACAACGAAAAGGCACATGGAGAAGGAGGTGAAAATCTACAGACAGCGGCTGTTGCGAAGCCCGAACTGCAAGCGAACGGGGACAATCCTGCTCAAGAAAGAGGAGTTGCTTGACGCGTATGAAAAAAACCACCAGGAGAAGCTGCAAGAGTGGCTCGGGGTGAAGGCGGAGCTGGTTGGGGAGACGACAACCGGTTTTCTGTCTAGGAAAGCGAAAATGCGCAAGGCCAAGACGGAGATGTCAGCGGTGAATTTCAAGGGGGTAACTCACTCGGGTGCGAGGGAGGTGCTGGTGGCGGCGACTGAATTTTTCAAAGACTCTTTCGGCGGGCGTGGGGAGGCAGGCTCAAGCGCGTTGGAGCCAAGAGTTATGTGCCGAACGTTGTGCGACGGCAGCCGGAATGCGCTCAGTGCACCGTGGTCGGAGGAGGAGGTCCGGACGGCGGTACGCGAGCTAGCTCCAGGGAAGTCGCCCAGGCAGGACGGTCTTCCCAAGGAGCTGTTTGAGCATAACTGGGACTTGCTGGGCCCGGTACTGATGAAGTTCGTCGGCGATTTCACGCGGACGGCGGAACTTCCTCGGGAAATCTAAACTGCAGTCACGATCCTGTTACATAAGAAGGGAAGTAAAGAGGAGTTAGGGAATTACAGGCCCATCACTTTGCTGAGCACGGTCTACAAGGTGATGGCAAAGGTAATGGCGTCGAGGCTCAAGAGGGTTCTGCATGAGGTGATCTCAGAGGATCAGGTGGGGTTTTTACCTGGACGGAAGCTAGCGGACGCTGTCGCGGTGGTAGCGGATGCGATCGAGGCAGGAGCCACCGGAAGGGAAGATTGGTTCCTCCTGATGGTCGATTTTCATAAGGCCTTCGACTCCATCTCGAGGCCTTTCCTCTTCCGCACGTTACGAGAAATGGGGGTTCCGGAGATCTTCGTGTCTTGGGCGGAAGGCCTGCACACAGGAGCAGGAACGAGGCTGCACATTAACGGGTGGACAGGAGACCGAGTTGCGGTGGAAAGAGGGGTGCGGCAAGGCTGCCCACTTGCACCATACCTTTTTCTGTGTGCGGTGGAGCTGCTCTGCCAGGAGTTTGCGCGGCGGGGGCTGGGGATCGGCGACGGCGGGGCGGATAGGCTGGCGTATCTGGGGTACGCTGACGACACGTCGCTCCTGCTGAACGGGGAAGAACAGCTGGCTGATGTGGCTGAGGCGCTGGAAAACTTTGGGGAGGAAGCAGGGCTGAAAGTAAACAAAGTCAAGACGGTGGTCTTCCCGCTCGGGGTGAATAGAGGGAAGTCCCCGCTGGCGGGCCTGCAATACAAATGGGCCGACAAGGATGCACCGGAGTGGCTGTTGGGCATCTGGATTACTCCGAACGGTGACTCGCTTCTGTCCTGGGAAAAGGCGTTGGAAAGGGCGCGTAAGGAGTTAGCCAAGTGGGAGATTCAGCACCTCACAACAACAGCGAGAGTTACGATAATCAATGGGTACATCTCGCCCATCTTCATGTTCCAAGCTTACATCTACCCGCCGCCAGAAGAGATATGGACCAAAATCAAGAGGATATGCCACAACTTCGTGTCCGGGGGCGAGGCGACAGAAGAAAAGGCCTTCATTCTTTGGAAGTACGAGCTGATTTGCACGCCAAGGGAGGAGGGGGGGCTGGGGATGATTTGCCCCAAAAAATAAATTGCCAGCATAGCGGTGCAGAACGTCGGGCGCATGATGCTGCAAGCTAACTCGATCAAGAAGTGGCTGACGGAGCGGGCGGCGGCGATGCCTCTGGGCCCGGACATGATTTACGCCCACCAATCCCTGCTAAAGCACTGGACAGAGGGAAGCAAGCGGTGGAAGGGTGTGGTGCAATCTTTCTGGAAATCGCCCTTCTGTGTCACCCCGGAGCCGGAGAATCGGTGGGAGGTGGAGCGAGAGCAGTTGGCGTTCAACAGACGCATACCTTCCTGAGGAGCCAGCCCATTTGGAAATCAGAAGGGCTCGGCACGCCTTCTGGGGCTGACGATGGGCGACCTGATCTGGCGCCGGGCAGATGTCTCACGGGGGCCGAAGGACAAGGAGGCCTTGGCGAGTGAGCTCGGCAGCGCAGAGGCGGCGAAGCTGGCTCTGAAGGCTTTCGGGGCGGCGCCGGCCAGGTGGAGAGAGATGTTGTTGGAAACTCTAACAAGCGAGGAGATTGCTACTAAAGTTCCTCTGCTACGGTACCAGGGAGGTGCTGCGTCTCGCCCCATGCTCTGGAAAGTCACGGGCGCGAACAGCGGGAGGGTGACAGGGGTGATGTGTCGGGAGGGCGCCGACGGCACTTTCACCGCTGGAGATGGAAGATATTCAGTTAACTTCGGTCTGCACAGTGGGGAGCCGGTAGCGGCTACAGGCGATAAGGTGTTGGGGCTAATCGGCGAAGCGCGTACAAAGCTCCTGAAGTCCAAGCTATGCAAGAACGGGGAGGTGCTGCCGCTGAAAGAGATTAGGTTGGGACTGGTTAGCTCGACACGCACTGTGAAGGAGCAGCGAAGGTGGGTTGGAGATGGGAGGGTGATTGAGTGGAAGGGGGTCATCAAACAGAGGGACTCTCTCGCCACCCCCGCCCGGGCACGAGAAATTTTGCTGAGGCTGCACTGTAGGAATCTGCAAGTAGGGGAGCGGCTTTTCTTTATGGAGGAAAAAGTGGTCTGTCCACACTGCGAGGCGGAGGAGACACTGGAGCATTGCCTGCTCGGCTACCCGGCGATTCAAAAGGTGGTGCGGTTCCTGCGGAGAGGACTGGCGGAGATGAACCCGCTGTTGAACTGGCAGGGTCTGGAGGACGTGCTTTTCATGCAGAAGAGCATGAAGTCTGGTTTCCCGGAGAGTTCGTTCATTGCCACCACACTACACCAGGTATGGCTGGCAAGATGTGATGCAAGTCGTTGGAACATCAAGTTTCAGCCGAAGAAAGTGATGCGTATGGCGGTGGTTAAATTTGTCGCGCATGCCAGGGTGTACTACCTGGCAAGGCAAGTGGCAGCACGGAAGCATGGCGTGGCTGTTTGTAATAATGACTGGAAGCATCTGCCAGCAGACAAGGAGGTCGTAATGAGGTGGATATGCAGCAAAGGGGTACCGCTGACATGGAAGAGTAGTTTTAGTTCTGAATCGCTCAACGGAAGCCAGGGTGACGCACCCGTTTTGCCTGGAACGACGCAGGGGGGTGACGGTCGACCGAGCGTCAGGGCGGCCAGCTCCCTCGCGTGAGTCCCCCACCAGGCTGGCGCGGGGCGGGGCTCTGCCCACGCCCCCCGCCCCGGCCCCCCACCCCGAATTCCTACAGAACCCCACGTTGCAGCCGAGGGGTGGCGAACTCGCGCGTGAGCGACGAGGGGCCTAGTTACCCCTTCACGGAGGCGGACATTCGCTTCGCGTTGCCCGCGAGGCCCTAGTAACCCTCTCGGGCTGCCCTCGCCGGGCAGGCGGGTTGGTTGCGAAATTCAAAGGGCCCGACCCCACCCTCGTCAACATCGCTGGCCCCTCGGGAGGGGACACGTGGCTCGCCCTCGCCACCCCGACCACCCCCACGCACGGCCCACACAAACCACCCACCTCCGCCCCTCGGAACCCCGCCCTCGAGGGCATGCCCGGTACGGGCCGAAGCCGGAGGCTCGCCCTCGGCCACGACGACCTGCCTCGTCCGCCGAGCTGCATACTAGGCGACCGACGGCCCACGCCCATTTCTTGATGGGGGGTCCCACTCCATCCGTCATTTCTCCTTTCCAACTTCGCTTTCCGATTTCCTCTGCCTCCCTGTCAGCTCTCCGCGCTCCTCCCCAAACCTTCCGTGATACCGACCGTGGTGTTAGCATGGCGACCAGTAGGATAGCACTGCCTGCGGCTGAATTCCCCCTCCACGTGCCAGTGGGCATCGGTGGGTACGGGGTGACGCTTGAGATGAAGGACTACGAAGTCCTTCGCGACGAGAAGGCCGAGTTCACAGAACCTTGCTTCGACCTCGGCCTCGCGTGAGCGCGCATCCCTAGGTCGCGTTGTTCGTCCTTGTCCTGCGCGTTTTCGTCGGCGTCCTTTCTAGGTCGACGTTGGCCTTGTCGTTTTTCCGTGTGGTCGATGACGTCCGTCTGCGATGGACGTTTTGGCGCTGCGTCGTCCTATTAACTAGTTTGCCTGTCCTCGACCATTGGCCCTACGTTGGTGACGTCCGTCATGCTGCCGGCGACATCGCCGTCGTGCGAAACCTTGGTCCGAGTCCGCTTGTCTTGTTGTCCGCGCTTTACCCCGGCGCCCAGCATGGATTGTAGCTCACCGCGCAAGTGTTTCGCTCCCGCCTTTTCGCCCCCGGTTGTCCCAGGTACGAGCTCGATCGTCTGGGAAAGGGCGACAGCATGATCCTGATCCGCGGTGCGAGTCTTCGCGCTGCCAGGACGGCGTCGAAGGCGGACCATCTGATTTTCGGGTCGGCCTTCGGCTTCGAAGCCCTCGCCATCCCCCTGTGCACCGGGTGAGTGTTCCGCGCCCGTGAGGTTTGATCCACGCCGACCGCATTGCTTGTTGTTCCCGGACAGAACCCTGAATGTCTCCGTCGTGCTTGTGTGGGCAGTGGCGGACCTCTTCCCGGCAGGCACTGCAGCGTCCTACTTGTTGTGCGCCCTGGCGACCTGCTTTTGCCCGACGAGGAGGAGATCGGGACGTTCTACCGCCACCTCGACCCCAAAACCTCCTCCAAGCGGCACGAGGAGGAGGCGGCCAACGTTTTGAGGTGGGACAACGTCGACGGCTAGTCGCGCCGCTCCTTAACGGCGTTCATGCCACCTTGTCTGATGGCTCTTTTCCGTCTCGTAGCGCAGGTTTTTCGGCGAATGCGTGAAGGCGGAGTTGAACCGTGGGGGAAGGCAGTGGACGGCTGCGCCTCCTTCCGCCAAAGTCCTCTCCGAACGTCTGGAGAGTCTTGCCGCCCCCATCCGTGATGTGAGTTTCCAACGTCCATGTCGCCTTGTCGCCTGGGCTATCGTCGTCCAGGAGTCGACTCACCCTTTTCTTCGGCGCCATGTGCTTCGGATGTTGATGCAGAAATTGCCCGACATCCTCAAGGAGGAGGTCGCCGGCACGGGGCTGTTGGCGGTCAACGCGTTCGCGCGGTCGTTGGAGCATCTGGACGACGTGCATCGTAGCTACGATCCGCTCATCGTCGAGAACCCGAAGATGGTCGGCTTGAAGGTGCTCCGACTGGAGCTGTTGCACCACGCGGAGAAGGCCGCGTCGAACAAAGGGGAGGCGGCGTCAACCGTGGCCCGTGGCGTCGGAACCGCCATCGCTCTGGGTGGGGAGGAGGAGCACGAGAGGGAGGACGTCGAGGGGGGCGGGGAGCACGACGGTGGCTCGGAAGAAGAGGAGGACGTGGAGCGTGAGGAGGACGACGTGGCTGTCACCGGCGAAGAGGAAGCAGTACAGTTCGCCGGTGAGAAGGTTGCGGATAAGAGCGGCGGCAGCGGACCCAATTTGGGCAAGAAGGCCCGGGGCAGCAGTGGCTCGACCCCGACTAGGATGGCGTCAAAGGCGGCTATCGAGCGCGTGAAGGCGGCGGAGAGGGAGATCAAGAAGCTGAGGGAGGAGAAGCTGGTGGCGGAAAAGAGGCTGGAGTTCCAGACGGCCCGGAACGACACGATGTACGGCGTGGTCACCTCGGCCGTGAACAAGCTCACTACAGTCGCCGAGGGCGTGACCCATCTCGAGCAGACGTCGGGGAGGAGCATCCAAACGGCGGTGGACGCTATGAGGGCGGTCGTGCAGGAGGCGGTGAGCTATCGCGGCTCCACCCTAGAATTCATGAACACGCAGTGGCTGCCCACCGTGCAGGCCCTGCACTTGACGGCTACTGCTGCACAGGGTAGGCGACGGGAGGACGACCTCCTGCTGCTTCGAGGTGTGGCAGATGCTCTTGGCCAGAAGATCAAAACAGTCGTGTCTGCCGAGGTGAAGGCCGCCATGGAGGGCGAGGCGTAGCGGATCGCCGCTGCCGTGACTGCGAAGGTCGTCCAAGAGCTTAGGGACGACCTGGTGAAGGCGGTCACCTCCGCGACCCAACAGGGCATTGGCACCGCCGGGTTTAGCCTCCTCCCAACTGCTCTCGCGTCGGTGATGCACGGCGGTCGCGCAATCGCCGAGGAGAGTGGGCCGGCCCCAAGGCAGTCGGGGAAAAGGGTCGCCGACGAAAAATCCCTGACCGGCGACCAGACCAGCGGCTCTAAGCGAAGCAGAGGACCTGCGGTGAAACGCGGTGTGGGCGTGGATCCTCCTGCCCCTCCGTATGTTCGTATCCCCGGCGTCCACGACTTGCTGAAAGATGGACATGGCGCGCAACCGAGCGAAGATTTTCGACAGGTCGACGTCGCGCTCCAGGATCCTCAGTCGGTGGTCGGGAAGACCGGTGGGCAGCCCGTGGGGGACAAGCAGCCACAGGCCCCGACCGATCCGTCGAGCGCACACGACGCGCCACCGAGCTGCGACCAGGTGAGTCTGGCCGACGAGCTCATGGGAGAGGCATCCGTGGTCGCGAAGCAGTGCTGGCAGCCAACGGCAGAACAGCATCCACACCCCGAGGCCAGTCCGGCGACTGCACAAGGCGCTCGACCGAGCGGCGGCACGGCCCAGATGGCAGACGACATGCACGTCGCAGCGGTGGTCGGCCAGGCGCGCGGGGAGCCCGTTGCGGTCCAGCATGTTCAACCCTCGACGAGTACGCCGACTGCACGATCGACCGGCGTCACAGCGCAGCTGCCCAACGACCTCCTGCGCCCCGCAGCGGTTGTCGGACAGCAGGGCGGGCCGCCCGGTGCGGGCCAGCATCTTCACCCGTCGACGAGCACGCCAACCGCATAAGACGCGCGTCCGGCTGGCGTCACGGCGCTGGTAGACGAGCTCTTGCGCCCAGCAGCGGTGGTCGGACAGCAGGACGGGCCGCCAGGTACGGGCTAGCATCCCCCCACCGCGACGAGTCCGGCGACTGCGCAGGACGCGCGTCCGGCTGGCGCCACGGCGCTGGTCAACGAGCTCTTGCGCCGAGCATCCGTGGTCGGACAGCATGTCCAGCAGGCTGCCGGTGCGGCCAGCTTACCCGTTCATGGGGCCATGGTCGCCGCGGAACCGATCCCGATCCCAACGGCTGTTGAGTCTCGGGCGGTCGAGGCTCTAGTCACTCAAAAGCCATCGTTCGACGAGTATCTGAAATGGCTCGAGGATCAGGGTTAGAAAACCCCGGTAATTCTACCGACTCACAGCAACCAGGCGGTCGACCAAGGAGCAGAGGCAGCGAACGTCGCGGCGGCGACTGCAGGGCCGAGTGGCTCAACGGTGGAGGCGGCTGTGTGGAGAGCGGCGGAAGAGGCCGGCGGGGTGGACGAAGAGATCCTCGCCAGCATCGTGATGCCGGACCCGGAAATTGAGGTCATGCGGGAAAAACTACAAGCAGCAGCTCCCACCGTGGGAGCGCAACAGGGTGCACCAGCCGCCTCGACTGCTCCTGCGGAGGACCATAGCGCGGCTGGCGCCAAATCCCCCCCGGCCACAACCGGTGAGGACCGCGATGGGAAGCAGAAGCGCAAGGGCAAGGACAAGGCGAAGGGCAGCCCGGCGAAGGTCGGCTCTTCCAAGGGGACGTCCAAAGCGGCCGCGCAGGGTCGGAAGGGTTCAGGCGTCCGCGTTGACCCTTCAAATGGGCTGGCCGTCTCGGAGATGAAGTTTGGGAAGAAGAGCCGTTACATCTGCCGGTCGATGGACAAGTCTGAGGCCGCCTACTACATCGCTGTCACCGTTTCGTCGTTCGACGACTTTGTCATCGACGTGGTTCTCGAGGAGTTCGGTGGGGTCAAGGAGGAAGTGATGGCGCAGTATAAGGCGGACTGGAATGTGGCGCGATTGATTCCGGGGGGCATGTGGATGGTCATGTGGAGCCAAGGGGCGAACGTCTTCCGCGACAGGTAAGCTTGGCGAATGCTCAATTTGGTGCTCGTTTCAGTCGGTTCGCGTGGGGCGGTCAGTGACGGTGGGTATTCCTGCTGTGTTTTGCAGGTTCCAACAGGTGGTCGCGGAATACAACAGGATAACCGAAGCCGACCGCGCAGCTCTCATGTTGGCTCTTCGCCCGGCGGTGTGGTTCGGCGACCTTCCGGAGTCGACCGAGCCCGAGAAGGCCGCGAAGAAGAAGGTGGCGAGCGACATGATCGCACGCGTTTCGATGTGTGCCGCCTTCGCACCGGTGGCCGCGAAAGTGACGCCCATTCCGGGCGTCGGGTCGGAGCGGTTGTCCGAGATCCTTGCCGGTACTGCGGCCATGGTGTGGTGTTTTTCGGAGACCAATGCCACGGCGGAAGTAGCGGCCGGCGAAGGGGGGGCGGCAGCGACCGTGCGCGGAGCGTCCAACGAGTTCGCGAGTCGGTGTCGGACCGTCATCGAGGCGGTGCTTCAGCGGGCGGCCTCCCGGGTGGTCGTCGTAGGGGAGGTCGCCGAAACGGTGACGAAGGACCTGCAGGCGGCTGTGGTGAGGTCGCTGCCTGAGGTCGGAGAGGAGCGAGAGCACGACGAGCTGATCGCCCGTGTCATGATAGAGAACCTCGCCTTCTGGGGGGACTGCAATGTCGGAGGCCCAAAGCTCAAGGCTCGCGGCGTCGATTTGCCTATCGACCCTCAGATGAAGATTATCATTCGGGACAGGGGGACGAGGGGGCAGCAGCACAAAGGGAAGCAGGTCGCCGACGCCTAGGTCGACGAAGGCTGGCCCGTCTGCTCGTAGCATGGTCGGCTTGGGTGCAAACGCTGCAGGCTTTCTGACGAAGACCTACAAACGCTGGCCCGACCGCTCGTGACATGGTCGACGTGTCCGGTTTCGTGTGCTTTTTTGTTGTTTTGTTGTGCCTCTCCGGCTTAGGGATGCTGAACTTGTTCGTCGGTAGTTTTTCAGAAACGTTGTGAAGTAGGTTTTGTGGTGTGGAGTCGGTTTGATGCATGAAAAAGAGACAAACTTCTACTAATTTACAAGTCGAAACAACGTTGGCAGTAAAAGAAAACCATATAGGATCACTAGAACAGGTCGGACACGCTCAGCACACCCCCAGCCCACTCTCAGCCTGCCCTTAGCCCGCCCTCGGCCCGCCCTCAACCCACCCTCAGTCACACCACGCCCAGCCAGCAGCACAAGTCGGACCCAGACGCAGTACCCTCAGCCCGCCCTCTTGCGCTTCCCTGCGCCGATGGCTCCCGCCGTCGCCTCGGCCTCCAAGCCGGCCCTATTGGCCTGCTCATCCCACAAGTCGCCAAAGAGCCTCTTTCCCCAGTCAGCGTCCATGTAGCCCGCCGTGACCACGCCCCACGCAACGGCGAGCTTCCTCGCCAGCGGCTTGTCCACACCCTTGATGCCGACCGACTTTCCGTCGGCTGTGGTGGGGACCTTGATGGGCGGGGTTGCACGGAGGACCAAGAGCGCGTCGCTGAAAGTGGAAAGCCCCGTTCGCCCCAGGTGGTCGAGTAGCTTGATGACGGCGGCGGTGTCAGCGGCGTCGTCGCTCCGCCGCAAGTCGTGCACCGCTTCCATGATCCGCCTCATCCGGCGAGCGCAGTGCTGCAGCGCATCGTTTTTTCCCCGTCTCACCCACCTCGGTCGTGGGACGAGAGCTCTTCGCCGACTTCGCCGACGCGGCGGGTTTGTCGCCCTTTTCGACCTTGCAGATCATGCGCGTGTGTCTGACGAGGAATCTGTGCTCGTCGTAACGTTCGCGCAACGGACGCGAGTCAAAGTTGGACGGGTTGTTCCACCAGCGCCATGCAGCCTCGACCGTCTTGGATGTGCGCCAGGGATGCACGACGTTGACCTCGTACGTCAGGTCATCGTTCTGTTCCTTCTCGATCTTGACGGACGCTGCCTTCTCGGCGGCGGTCATCGGCCTTGACGGTGCCGGCGCAGTCGGCGTCGGCCGTGCCTCGGCCAGCTTGAGAGCCTGCATCAACTTCGCGATCTCCGCGTCCTTCTCCTCCAAATTCTTCTGCATTTCAAGCTTCTCGATCGCGGCATCCTCCCTCTGGCGGTGCAGCATCATGGTGAGCTGGTCGACCTGATATTCGGCGTCAACTCGCGCGCTGAATTCCTGCGATCCAAGGGGGATGGTCGGCAAAAGGTGAGGCAATGTGGCAGGACGACTTGTTTAACAGGTCGCCGGAACGCGCACGCCGTACCTCTTGGGGGTTCTCGCTCGGAGTACTGCGCGTCGCGATGGTTTCGAGGTCCACCCGGTTGACGTCCTTGGCCCATTTCTGGAAGTCGGGGTCGCGGCAGAGCTTGGAACTCTGGACGTACGGGTGCCACGGTTCGCGCATCAGCATGCACGCAAGATCCTCGACAACGATTCAGCGGCCGAACTCGATGAGCGATTGTAGGAAGTGCACCCCGGCCGTGTTGGGCTCTCTCGCGGATGCGCACCTTACCGCCTGCGAGTCGAACACAAACACAAACACAATCAGCCGTCGGTAGAATGTCGTCGTGGAAATGGTCGGCGGGTTGTTGGCGTTTTTGCCGTCCGAAATGCTCACCTTGGCCAGTTCCGCTTCCGCCCACGGAAAGATGTGCTGGGCAATGAGGGCCACCACCTTGTCGTCGGGCTTCACCATGCTCCGGCCGAGGTGGTAGTCGTCGCGCTTGCCCGTGTAGCCTGCCTTTCTCAACACCGCCGCCTTCGGGATGGTCGTGATGTAGCTCTTCGCGAGCTTGTCGAGCGCCCAGTGGCCCAAGTCGGCGATGTCAGATCGCGGAACGTCGTCGCTGGCCAGCTCCTGTGCCCCACCCGCCCGGGCGGCGTGGGTGTTGCGCGTGATGAAGATCTTGTTCGTCCGCCACATCTCTTTCGTGATCCGAGAATGAGATGATGCCGGCAGCTCTTTTTGTGCCTTGTCGTTCCGAGCATGAAAGAGGTGCTTGTGATACCAGCTGTACGGAGTTGTGAAGTCGAGGGGTGGCACACATCGAGAGGTGGGCGAGTGGCTCAGCTGGTCGTACACGAAGTGCAGCCACAACAGTGTGTGACCGACGGCGCACATCTCTTGCTCCAGGTGTCTCGCCGCGTAGCTGTGATGCAGACGAGCATCCTTGTTCGTCTTGGAGTTTCGTGACGCGACGACCATGACAACCGGCCGTCGCGTGGAGTGCTCTGGCAACGCGCTCCCCATTCTGTACAAAAACAGGTCGGGGAGCTCGATCGCTCGGAGACTGCCTCCGCGGAGAAGGGTGTGGTGACCCAAGAGGGTCATCGTCTTCATCAGCAGAAACTTCCACAGTGTCTGGGAGGGGGTGGCCGCCTTGGGTTCGTACGCCCGAGCTATCCAAGTCGGCAAGACCTTGAACATGAGGTGGCGGATCTGGTCGGTGGTGTACGTGTCGCCGAGCGTTCCGCGGTGCCGGTCGACGCAATCCCTGCACATCAATTTCCACGAGGACTGGGTTAGCTGGGCGAACCGGGAAACAGGCGTGAACCGCGCAGGACGACTTGCCGACTTACCTGTCGTCCCTGTGCCACTTCTCTCTGACCATCGCGCGCACCTCCGAGCGGACCTCGGAGATGTCGTACATGATGTGGAGCTCCTTCACCCCGAAGAGCGTCCCCTCGACCTTGCAGGCTGTCTGGAGCGCTTTGATGCGGATGAGCAGCATCGAAACGGTTGTCGGCTTCAGGGGCTGGACACGGACGTTGGGATTCAGCTCCTCGAGCTCCTCGGCCTTGGCAATACCATGCTGCCTCGCGATTGACAGAATGTACGCCCTGATCCGCGTGGCATTGACGCGGGGACCGTGCATCCATTGTAGGTCGCCCTTGGCGGTGTGCCACTGATCACCCATGTCTTCGTCGATGTACCTCCCTATCTCGTCCTCGTGTTCCAGCACGCCGTCCCCCTTGACTCTGGCGGTTTGCTGTCTTGGAAGGTTCGCGCAGCACCATCTCCTGAAGTCGAGCAGCGCCCGCAGGTACTGAATCCGGGTCGTTCTCGCCTCCAGCGTGTCGAGATGCCGGAAACCCCACATCATCCTTAGCAATCTGTTCTTCTTGGCGAGCTCTTTGTTGATGTCGAAGGCGGCTTCCGCAAAATCGTCGCGCGGAATGTTTTGCAGGAAGGCGTCATCTTTCTCGTCGGCTGCCAACAAGTCCTCTACGCTCAGATACATGTAGTCGTTTTCTGGAAATGGTCCAATTGGCGGCGGCTGCTCCGTGTCCGAACGCGGCGAGTACCGGTCCGGCTCGGGTTCGGGAGCCCCTTTCGTCCCTGGCGGTAGGGGGATGGTCGGGTCGGCGGGAATTTTTGCCCTAGCGGCATCTACGTCGACCACCATGTCGGTGGGAATATTTGCCCTAGCGGTGTGTACATCTTCCTCCATGAAAGGCTCGTTCAGGTCGGGAATCGCGCTGCTCCCCGCCGGCGGCGCGACGCCAGCCATCTCGGCGGGTAGAGTTGTTCCCGTCGGCCTCTAGTTGTCGCCGCGATCTCGCGGCGGTACGTGCTCAGCCCACCAAAGTCGATACTGCACAATCGCTGCCGTGTGTTGCCTTCGCACCGTGGCCCTAAAGGCCGCCCGTCTTTCGGCCCTCTCAACGTTCTCGGCGATCGTCAACTCCGCGGCAATGTCGGTCAGTTCGGGAATTTCGGGAAGTAAGGGCGGCGGATTGGTGTACTGCTAGGTGATGTTCGGAGTGGCCGTGGTCGGCGGCACAATGGTCGGCGGGGTGTGAAGTGGCAATGTATCGTTCGGCGGGGCGTTGTCCGGCGGGATGTTGTTAGACTGGTCCGTGACCATTCGAGGCCGCACGGGGGATCACAGGCGATGACAATACTGGTTGTGGGTTTGAAGAAAGAGGTCGGCGACTTTCGGTTGTTGTCGACCTAGTTAGTCGTCCTAGTCGGAATGATCCTAAGTCGGAAGCCCGTAAAGTTTGCCGACCTAAACGCACTCTACACTGGCGTGGCTCGGTCGGTCACCGAGAAGCGTGAAAATGAGTAAGGGAAATGTGGCTCACCAGAATGGAAATGAATGCAACGCAACAAACAAGTGTCGAAATGCCATGGACACTTGGCCGTCAAGGGGTCATAGCATAGAGAGCCACTGTCGCGGTTCGGGCGGACAGGTGTTGGCGGGCGATCCGTGGGCAGGTCTCCAACTCTGCATGCAAGGCAGAACGGCACGGCGGCGCAATGGTCGACGTGGCATGGGGCACTCATGTCTTTTTCGCAGCGGACTGTCCGGTGTTCCCGTCACGGTGAACCGTGCTTACACGTCGGCGTGACGCAGCAGTGCTCATCGCGTCGGCCGACGATGGTATCCCGCGGGGACGTTCCCGCAAGCAGGCCGGCGAAGGCTTGATCGCCGCGTGGACAGACGTTTGCCGATCGATGTTCGCCGCGTGGAATGTTGTGTTTCGGATGGGCGACGTGTGGCTCTGCGCGCCAGCACAGTGGTCGGCCAGAAGTCGCGGTGGGCCTCACGTCGCAGTCCGCACCGATGGCTAGGTGGACGTCGTGGCACGCTGGCCGCGACCGGCGTGGTCGACGTGTCGACCTCGTACGGAGGGTCCGTTGAGAGGTGCTATCGGGGTATTTTTCATCGGGATTGCCGGGTGACGCTCCTCGCCCAGGACATGCACTCAGTTAGCCGGACAGGATGACGCAGGGTGGCGGATCCCTTTCCCGAGCCGCGTCGTTTTTGCACCCGGATGTAGTCGGGGCGTTGAGATATACCATGCTATTTGGAACAACCCAAGTATGACTCATCAACCACCGTAGGTTTGCTATAGGGAATCTGCGGTACACGGTACTGTATATCTTCCCTCCAGACACAGTTACGACTGCCTGTTGCGTTTTGTACATTATCCTTGTGTACTTTTCCGTATCCAAAAAAAAAATATATGCTGTTTGCCGTACTTTCCAGAATTCAGGGAATGCTTTGTAGTATTGATTTGTATCAGAAATGGAGGGCTGGACAGCAGGGCTGTCGCTACAAGGGCAAATGCCTAGGTCCCCGAATCTAAGTTTTGGGTTTCAGGTCAGCCCGTCCGCCTAAAGTGCTGTGTTAGGGACTAGCCCGGATTTCAAGTATCAGTCTTCGGGCTAGCCCTTTCCCCTTCGAGCAGATTCCTCCCCGACCCTGCAGAATGACTTTCCCAAGAGCCAGTTCCGACGTACTCTCACACTCTCAAGGTCGGGGCCGGAACCGTTATTTTTCGAAGTCAGAATCCGAGCTGCAAGTCAGAAAGGACCTAAAGTAGTATAGAAGAAAACTTAGTGCTAGATCTAGGACAGGGCTACTCAAGTACTAGAGAGGTCCCAACACTACACTTCACATTTACAACTTTGAGCGGGTTCGGCGTTGTTGCCGATTCTTTCCGCTAAGTGACAATCAGGCGCGTGACGAATCAATCCGGATGGCAGTGCAAATCCAGGACGATCTCAAAAGTGCATAACACTTTGTAGCCCTGATTTCAAGTGTTGAGTTCGGCCCAAAACGTAAATTTAAGGGCACATTTCGGGGCAGCTCAGCCTTCCAAGTTCTCGCCCCAGAGCAATCCACAGCCCTGTTGTACAGCACTTGAGCACTTCAGCACTGAAGTATTTCATTCTTGTGTTTCAGCACTTCGCAATTCTTCGCACAAAGAACTACCGTATCATGCATGGCCTGGGACATTCATCCACTCACTCCCGCACGCGCACCAATGCGCATCAAGTCGCAACGATATTGTAGACATCGAACCAGGTAGAAAGGAAAAAATGAGACGTTCCCGCTTTGTGGTGAGGTTACAAATCATTTAGAAGTATCAGGAGGAAGTCCGTCTCTTTAGAACTGTTAGCAGAAATTGCGTTTCATTAGTATCCATCCATGGCGCGATCCGTCTCGAGGTCGCCCCCTGGCAGGCGCCGGAAATCGCGCTCCGCTTCCCGAACCCCCCCTCGCCGGAAATCCCGCTCCCCCGCCGGAATTTCCTCTACCCGGCGATCCCGTTCGCGATCCCTAACCCCCCCGCGATCGTCGGCGCGGCGAAGTCGGCGGGACGAGCGCAGCCCGTCTCCCGCGCGCAGGTGATTAGTTTCTCGCACAGGTGAGTAGCTCCGAACGCAGGTGATTGGTATTGCTCGTGATGAGTTCGTATCGCTGGTGATTAAGCTTTATCCCGTAATAAAAGCGACGTTTCCTCGCCTCATTACTCCTCCCGTAATTCCTCACCTCATTCCACCTCATTCCACCCCATTTCCGCCTCATAAATCCTCAACGCTCACCTGAAAACTCTTCATATTCACCTCATATCGTCCTACCCTCGGCCCTGACCTTCCAGGCGAAACCGCAGTCCCTCCTCTTCCCGCTCCTCTCTCTCTTCCAGCTCTCTCATTTTCACCACACGACTCCTCACCCTCGTCCCGTACCCTCCACGCACAGCCGCAGTCCCTCCTCTTCCCGCTCCTCTCTCTCTTCCAGCTCTCTCATTTTCACCACATGACTCCTCACCCTCGTCCCGTACCCTCCAGGCACAGCCACAGTCGCTCCTCTTCCCGCTCCTCTCTCTCTTCCAGCTCTCTCATTTTCACCACACGACTCCTCACCCTCGTCCCATACCCTCCAGGCACAGCCACAGTCGCTCCTCTTCCCGCTCCTCTCTCTCCTCCAGCTCTCGCTCCCCCTCACCCTCCGATGCCGCTGAGAAAGGCCGCGGGGAGAGACGGAGAGAGGGGAGAGACGTGAAGGAGGGTAAAGAGAAGAGGGAGAAGAGGGATAAGAAGGAGGGGGCGAAGGATAAGGAGAAGGAGAAGAAGGAGAGGGAGAGGAGGAGGGCGGAGCGGGAGGAGGATAGGGCGAGGGAGGAGGAGGAAGAGACGGAGAGGGAGAGGGAACGGGAGAGGCAAAAGGCGAGGGAGAGGTGGAGGAGGCTAGCTGAAGAGGAGGAAACGAGGCGGTATGTTCTTTCTTTTCTTCATTTTTCATCTTTCTTATTTTCCTGCAGCCAGCAAGAGTGAACAAAGGATGAGAGATGGGAAAGAGGAAATTTGGGGGGGGGGGGAGGGGGTCGGGTGGTTCAGGGAGGAGACGAGAGAGGGAGGCCAGTAAAGCACACCGATAACACAGTGGACGGGATAGCACAGCCGCAACGGTTGAAGGAAGCCTAAAGCTCTGTTTCTCTCATCTTGTACTCTATATTTAGCCATGTTACCACCTCGATTTTTCTCCCCATTTTCTGTTCCCGATCGTACCCATCCCTGCCCATGCGTACCACTTTCCACCGGTCCAGAAAGGAGCAGGAGGAGGAGGAGAGGAGGGAGGAGGAGGAGATGGCAGTGAGAGTGGAGGCGGCAATCAGAGAGAGGGTAGGCGCGGAGCTGGCGTGTGAGCGGGTGCAGCAGCAGGTGGCAGCGATGGTGGCAGCGGGCAGGCAGAAGCTGAGGGAGGAGGTGCAGGCTCAGTTGGAGAGAGAGAAGCAGGCGCTGCTGGCCGAAGCACGAAGGAAAGAGGTGAGTGGGGGAGTGAGGGAGTGAGTGAGGGAGGTAATGAGGGCGTGAGAAAGGGAGGGAAGGAGGGAGTGAGGGAGGGAAAGAGGGACTGAGCGAGGGAGTGACTGAGGCAGTGAGTGAGGAAGTTAGACAGGGAGTGAGGGAGGAAGTGAGGGAGTGAGGGAGGTGGCATGTGAGCGGGTGCAGCAGCAGGTGGCAGCGATGGTGGCGGCGGGCAGGCAGAAGCTGAGGGAGGAGGTGCAGGCGCAGGTGGAAAGAGAGAAGCTGGCGCTGCTGGCCTATGCGCGAAGGAAAGAGGTGAGTGGGGGAGTGATTGAGGAAGTGAGGGAGTGAGTGAGGGAGGGAGGGAGGGAGTGATGGAGTGAGTGAGTGAGTGAGGGATTGAGGCAGTCAGGGAGTGAGTGGTGGAGTGAGGGGCGAGAAATTGAGGGAGTTAACGTGCGAGCGGGTGCAGCAGCAGGTGGCAGCGATGGTGGCGGCGGGCTTTCAGAAGCTGAGGGAGGAGGTGCGGGCGCAGGTGGAGAGAGGGAATCTGGCGCTGGAGAGAGGGAGAGAGGAGCGAGAGAATGAGGGATTGAGAGAATTGGCGAGAGACGGAGTGATCTAGGAAATGAGCGAGAGATGGAGTGATTGAGGGAATGAGCGAGAGAGGGAGTAAATGAGGGACTGAGGTAGGGAGGCAGGAAGTAATTGTGTTTCTGTGCTTCTCTGTGAGAACCTTAGGAGCAGAACAGAAAGTGGCGCGTGGAGTTGGATGGACACGTCTGTTTCCTTTTCACCTTCCTTTGATTCGTTTGTTTTGTTTATTTTTTGTTGTTTTTTTCATTCTTTCTTCCTTTTGCATGTCGGGTAATCCCACAGGAGCAAAAGCGGAGGGAGCAGGAGGAGCTGGAGCGGATGTTGGCGGAGAATCAGAGGAAGGTGGAGGAGGCACAGAGGAGAGCAGCCGAGGAGAGAGCGAGAGAGGAGGGGTTGAGACACAAGGAGCGAGAGGCAGTTGGTGCTGTCGGGTGGCGGGTATAGTGGGTGTGTGTGGGAGTGGGTGGAGTTAATTGCATGGATGCATGGAGGGGAGCAGCGCAGGGGAGGGTGAGGGAGGAGGCGCTGAGACACAAGGAGCGAGAGGCGGTCAGTGCTGTGGTGTGAGGTGTGTGGTGTGGGTGTAGTGGGGAATTGGAGGAGTTAAATGCATGGAGGCATTAAGGGAGCAGCGGAGGGGAGGGTGAGGGAAAAGGGCCTGGGGCACAAGGAGCAAGAGGCCGTGAGTGCCGTGGGGCTTTAGTGGGTGAGGAGAGTCAGAAATGCATGGATTCATAGAACATTCTGTATGCCTCCATCAATCAGTGTATACAGTAGATCAAAACTGAAAGATTCAGTGTGGGTATGTACTATGTACACTAAGACCTGATCATCCAGGCTTGGAATAAACCGAATTCTCCCATTGGATCTGTTACAATCCCAAGTGGGACTTAGCAAAGGATCGCTCAGGGTTGATCGCAGAGTGGTATTGCAGCGGAAGTTTAGACCTCAGGTCAGAGTGAATGTAAATGACTGAGATGATAATAACATGCATACATCGGGTTTATATAAGAGTACAGGGGAATACGAAAGGTCCTAGGCTAGCCATGTACTCTAAGGGGTACATTCCCTTATTGTGACTGAATTCAAAGAGAAAAAACCGTGCGTCGCGGGAACCCGTTCATAACCTGTTCCCGCTCTTTTCATTTTAACTGTTTGCATCGGTCTTGGTCTGACAGTTGCTGTGTCACTGTTGGGAAAATAAACGCATGACTTAGTGCGTTTCTGTAGTATCGAACCTCACCCGATACTGAAGCACAACAAAAGGAGTACGAAGTCGAAAAGGCGCGTACCACATCAAACCGCAACTGGGGGTTGCGAGCTGTAACCGCCTGGAGGTTACGTAACAGCAAGCGACGCTTCAGTGAACAGTAACCACCTCGATAGTCGAAGCGTTACGCGTCTCGATAAACATAACCGCTTCTTGTAATCTATCCTTTCTATATATTCCTGTATGCCCTTTGCTTTAATCAATTACTTGTTCTCACATACTAGCACAAGTACATTCACTCAAGACTTCCGCTGTGCTACTCTAGCACCTACTAGCCTATTCTCTGCAAAGATCCTAAGGCTGAAATTCTCAGCCCAACATGGTATGAGAGCAGTCAGAGAACAAAGGCTCTCGTCACTAAGCCTCTTCCAGGCTACCAATCTGCAAACGACCAAGAAGTTCAACCTTCACTCAAGAAAGGCAAAACATGGCAAGTGGCAAAGAAAGAAGATCATCTACGGGATCTACTCTACCCCCGGTCTCCGAGCTGCAGACCGAAGGAGGAACAACGCCTGGATTAACGCCGGAAGCGACGGAACGCTCTACTCAAGCACCAGTAGCGCCGCCAACAATCTTCAACCCAAGCTTAATGGAGGAGTTCTTCAACTTCATGTCGCAGCAGCAGTCCTCGCAACCTGCAAACAGCAACATCGTAAACAACGGAGCGGCACCAATGAGTATTGACAACTCATCGTTCGGACGACATAATCAACAAACACCAAATTCGGTCTCACCTGGTTCCTTCACGTTCATGCCGCCCCGCCATCCAGCGACTCCTCTTCCCGCCATCAAACGAGACACCGAAGAAGTCCTGCAAGTACAAGCACAGTTCAACAACATCCTACGACTGCACACATCCACACCATTCAACGGGAAGGACTTCTACTCTTGGAGCTTCGAGTTTGAACTCCTGATGAAAGGCGCGAATCTTCTTGGCTTCTTCAACGGTACCTGGCCATATCCACACAACGGCGAAGACAAAGACAAAGAAAATTATACGTATCACTCCCTCATGGCTTACACCGTTCTTCTCCGAAACCTGTCGCCGAACGAACAACAAAGCATCCGCGTCTACAGGAACTACGCAAACTCCGCGGAACTCGCTTATCAACATCTGCGAAGTATTCATCAAGCATCCGACGGCGTTACGCAAAGCCGACTCATGGCACAACTGACAACAGTTCAAATGCAACCTGGAGAAAAGGCCATGCCTTACATCAGTCGCTGTCAAGGACTACGCGACAGACTCATTCGCTGCGGAGGAAACTTATCTGAAGAAGCTTTCGTAACCGTCGTTCTTGCCGGCCTTGGACCTTAGTGGCGCACCACCCGCTCACTTCTTCGCGCTCACGATCGACTCTCCGAAATGCATCTCTGCGCCGAACTTCACGCCGAGCAGCAGGAAATGGACCTGTTCGAAGAACGCAACAACAAAAGGCATCATCAACCAGTCGTTCTTTACACCAATCGACGACAGCCACGCTACCAAAATCGAGGACACGTACCTCCTTATTGTCATCTTTGTCGGACTTCAGGACACACACGCTTCAACTGCCCTCAGCACCAACGACAACCAGCACCATTCTCTCGTCCTCTGCGACCAGTGCCTCCCCACATCGCGTCAACTCAACAACGACCCGCTACCGCCTCAACGACTACTTCAACGCGACCGTCAACTTCCACTTCGGGACCTGCACAGACACCAAGAATCGTCGCCATGGCACGAACAACAGAGTCAGACATCGACTCGTGCATTACCGGCTCTCCACCGACTTACAGTCCTGATGAGCAACCGTCACCACCACCGTCGTCCCTTAACGTGAATCCAACGTACGCCGCCATCGCGAACCGTGCACCCACCGGACCAGACACATGGTTCCTCGACAGTTGTTGCGGTCATCACATGTGCTCTTCATCACGATTTCTTCAGCGCGAACGGCGTCTTCCGCGAGACGTCATCATCACCATCGCCAACAACGAAAACCTGCGCACCAACAAACAAGGAGTCGTGGAGCTTCAGTCAAACGAAACAAACGTTTTTCTTCAATTAAACAAAGTACTCGTCGTCGACAACCTCGGCTTTAACTTACTGAGCGTCAGCCAACTCATGTCGAAAGGCGTTCACCCGGAGTGCGACTCCGACGCCCTGGAAATCCGTCTTTACCACGGAAAAGGGGGGGTCTTCATCGGCCGTGCAATCCAACAAGATGACGTGTTCGTCCTCGACTTCGTCCCCGACAAAGGCACCGCAGACAGCGACGGCATAGTCGCTCTCGCACCTTGGACGCATCCGCCAGACCTCGACCCGAACTTCAGTCCTGAAGGCTTCTGGTACTCTCGTACCATTCCCGAAGCTGAACGCACCAACGCGCTTGCCGTCCTGCAAACACAAGCCACAACACCTAAGTCAGCACCCGTCATCGAAACAACAACTGCACGCGTCACAACACCAACAACCACCGAACCTGCAATTGAAGAACCAACCGTCGTCGCGGAACAACCTTCCGAAACTCCACAGCTCGGTCCCTCCGTCGCACCACCACCTCTCATCATCGACACGCCACCGACAGCCGCCCAACAGTTAACGCCAGCACCACGCGCCGTTCATCGAAGTGCAGCAACACACGCCGCCTTCTTCGCTAACGCAGACTTCTATCGACGCTCCGTAGGTCACAGCGCCTCCGAAGACATCTGGCATCAACGTCTTGGACATCCCGGAAACACAACACTCTACAATACAATACGAGCCGGAGTGTTAGACAAGAACGCCCTACTTCTTCCCAACGGACGTGAACTCGAACGACCACGCGGCACCTGCTTCATCTGCCCGGAAGCAGATCTGCCTCACCAACCGTTCCCGTCACACCACAATCCGAGCGCCCCCGCTTATCAACCACTCGAGAAAGTCTACAGCGACATACTATACATACCTCGAACTGAAGGACGTGAAGATCTGAACTACGTCATCACCTTCATCGACGCCGCAACGCGATATGTCTGGCACGTCAACTTACCGTCACGAGACATGGCTCTAGAAGCCTTCACAGCCTGGCTACCTGTCGCTGAAAGAGAGTCAGGAGCAAAACTGAAGAGTTTTCAGTCAGATGGCGCAAAGGAGTACCAGTCAAACAGCTTCACACAGTTCTTGGCAGAAAGAGGCATCAAACGCCTCATCTCTCTTCCTTACGCTCACCAACAGCAGGGTGTGGCAGAAAGGATGAACAGGACCCTGCAGACAACCATGCGAAAGCTGCTACGTGGAACTCGACTGCCCAACTCAGAATGGCCAGCAGCGATGGACCACGCTGTCCTCCTGCACAACTTGTTGTCCTCGTCTTCACTGCCCAACAACGCATCTCCGCACCTGTTGTGGACTGGGAAGCTGGGCAACACAAAAATGTTACGAGTTTTTGGGTGTATGGTACAGTACCGCCCACACACTGCACGCGCAGGGAGATTCTCGCAACGTGCACAGTGGGGTCTACACCTCGGGCTGGCAAAATATTACGAAGCATGGCGAATCTTCGACGTCCACACAAAGGAAACAGTAGCAGCACGTGACGTTATCTTCTACGAGCGACTCACCCTCAACCATTACCTGGACAACATCACACGCCACGTCGACCCCACCGGCGGATTTTCTGGTTCCCGAGCCTTCGCTTCACCCTCCGATGCTGCTGATTGGGAAGAAGAGAACGTCGACGGTGCCTCCGAAGCTGCCGGACCCCTTCCTTACTGTTCCGTCCCAATCCCCATGG